GCAGAAACAGGAAAAAGAGTTAGGGGACAGAAACTCAACAGTGCAAAGCTGCAATGTTATTATGAAACACATAATGTGTTTCCTTTGTATTCTATTGATGATATGAAAATCAAAGCTCAGTTCTTGAAGATCTGGAAAATTTCAGAAGTACCTTTTTTTAAGTCATGAAAAAAAAAGAATGTAAATTGATTAAATCAATCATGATGCATCCTTAACATGGAATGTGTGGTTTTAAAAAATGTTATGGGAAGGGTGCCTGTGTAGCTCAGTCAGCTAAGTGTCCAACTCTTGATTTTGGCTCAGGTCATGATCTCACAGTTTATGAGTTGGGGCTCTGTGTCAGGCTCTGTGCTGACAGTGAGAAGCCTGCTTGGGATTCTCGTATCCCTATCTCTCTGCCCCTTCCCTCTCTATCTCCATCTAAATAAGTAAGTCAACATTAAAAAAAAATAAAAAATGTTATGGGAGACAATTTAATGTTAGGAGAATGTTCATTATATATTCATCTATAAACAAAGAAGATTACAAATATACATAGACAGGTCCCAATTTGTTAAAACTAAAGCTATTACAAAGGTGTATCTATAATATAACAATCATAACAGTAGTTATCTCTGGGTGATTTATGATTTTATTCTTTGTGATTTATGCTTCTCTTTTCTGTTTCCCAGGTTTTCAATAACAAGTTACTAATTTTTTTGAGAACTATAATTATTTTTTCAAAACTTCTGCATCACCGAAAATAGACATTCTGTAACCATTAAGCACTAATTCCCTGTTTCCTCTGCCCTCTGTCTCCTATTAACTCTATTCTACTTTCTGTCTCTATAAATTTGCCTATTCTAGATACCTCATATAAATTGAATCATATACTATTTATTCTTGTGTCTGTTCACTTAGCATGTTTTCATGGTTTATCTACATTGTAGCAAGAATCAAAATTTCATTCCTTTTTATTGCTGAATAACATTCCATTGTTATACCACATTATGTTTATTCATCTGTTGGTGAATTTGGTTGTTTCTATCTTTTAGTTACTATGAATAATTTTGCTACCAATATTATATTTGTGTACAAGTTTTGTTTGAACACCTGTTTTTAATTAGCTGTGGTATATACCTAGGAATGGAATTGCTAGATCATATGTTAATTGTATGTTTAACTTTTTGAGGAACAACCATACTGTTTTCCAGAACGATTACAAGATTTTATGTTCCCATCTATAATCCAACAAGGGTTCCAATTTCTTCATATCTTCTCCAATACTTGTTATTTTCTTCCTGTCTCTCTTTCTTTCTTTCTCTCTCTCTTTTTCTTTCTTTCATAATAGCCATCCCGTTAAGTGTGAAGTATCTCAGTGTGGTATCTCACTGTAGTTTCACTTTCCATTTCCCTTGTGATTAATAATTCTGAACATCTTTTCATGTGCTTATTGGTCATTAATACATCTTCTATGGCAAAATGTTGATTCAAGTCCTCTGAGCTATTCTGAATTAGATTGGTTGGGTTTTTTGTTGTTGAGTTGTAGGAATTCTTTATATATACTGGATATAACCCCTTATCAGATACATGATTTGCAAATATTTTCTCTCATTCTGTTAGTTGTCTTTTTAACTCCCATCACAGTATATCTTTCGATGAACAAAAGTTTTTAATTTCAATGGAATCAAATTTAACTATTTTTTTGTTCATTGCTCATGCTTTTGGTGTCATATCCTCAAAAGCAGGCATTTTTAAATCAGTAAAAAATGCAATTAAAAAATATCAGATGAAAAAATAGTTGCTAGTAGTAGGGGAGAAAATAGTTTACTGCCTCTTATTCTGAATTCAAAGCACGGTATACAAAAGCTCAAAACGAAGACTGTTTTAAGCATCTACGTTCCCCTTCTTACTAGAACATGACCCAGTAGAGGATCTCTTGGTCAAAGGATACGTATAAAAGCTTCTCCACTTCAAAAAAAAAAAAAAAAAAAAAAAAAAAAAAAGAGCGAAAAAGCTTCTCTACTTCCAACTTGCAACTTACTAAGTTTTAGAATAAAAACAAAGCTACCCCCTGGATCAAGAACTCATCAACTATGTCCACCATTTGCAGATGACATATCATTTGCATAGTTTAAAAACAAATGGACTTAGCAACAGCCTTTTGGTACCAAACCATTTCATATGTTCTATGCAATTTACAATTGACCCCAAAGACTTAGGTCTTAAGGCAGAAACCATGGTAAAGGGATTTATTCCTGGATGTACAAACATCTGTTCTGTCTTCTATTATTATTTTTTGTAATGTTTATTTATTTTTGAGAGAGAGAGAGAGCATGAGTGAGCAGGGGAGGAGCAGAGAGAGAGGAAGACACCGAATCTGAAGCAGGCTCCAGGCTTTGAGCTGTTAGCACAGAGCCTGACATGGGGCTCAAACTCACAAACCGTGAGATCGTGACCTGAGCTGAAGTCAGACTTAAACTTAAATGATTGAGCCACATACATGCCCCTATCACCTGTTATTTTTTAAATACCCTTGTTTCGTTTACTTTTTTTTCTCTTCTCTTTAAAAAAAAAAAAAAAGCGTGTCACCTTAAAAAAAGATTCCCTTGGGGGAGCCTACGTGGCTCAGTCGGTTAAACGTCTGACTCCTGATTTAGGATCAGGTCATGATCTCACAGTTTGTGGGTTTGAGCCCTGCTTTGGGCTCCATGCTGATAGTGCAGAGCCTACTTGGGATTCTTTCTCTCCCTCGCCCTCTGCCCCTCCCCCATGCACGCATGCACCCTCTCTCTCTCAAAATAAATAAATAAAATTAAAAAGGTAATCCCTTTAAAAAAAACAATTCCCTTGGAAGCTGTATTTCCTTAGTATGATTAGAGAAAGAAAAAAATGTTAAGCCTAATGTCCAGTGCTAATGGCAATGGTTAAAAATAAATGATTGCCAGTGACAGTCTTTACACTGATGCCAAAGTGTGGTACAATTTAGTCCTGTTCTCTAGAAGTTGAATATGCCTTCAGTTGTGCTCTTCTCTTTGCTTTCCTGGTAAAGTCCTCTTTATACTCCCCAGGCCTCATATTTGGGTCAAAGGTCTTTTTAGCTGCCTCTAAATGATCAAGAGCCTGTTAAGAGGGCTCCACATAGTTCTAATTTCTTTGTAAATGAAAATGGCAGACATGTTTTTCAACTGGTGCCTGGAGTGGGGGCAAGGAGGAGGAGGAGGAGGATACATCTGCAACAAATACCTCAAACTCCCAATCAATACTAATTTCAGTTTTTCTAGTCCTCTGTAGAGATGGTGGTAAAGGAAAGTAAGTCACAGTTTCTTAGAAACCTGCAAATATAGCTACATCTTGGGCTGGAGCTGTATCTCATAGGAAACTGGTAGCACTGAGAGGAAACAGAGTTACAAGAGGATGCCTATGAGGAAGGCTGGTTTGAAACTACTCCTACCTCTGTGAAAACCCCAACTATGGGAAGGTAGGAACTGTTTACTTCCATAGCTGATCTCTGGCATACTGCCTAATGTTTAACCTTGCCATGTGATTAGAGATTATGAAAATTTTGAGCACCGTTTCTCCCAGGACTAAAGTTCAAACCAGAGATGTATGTAAAGGGTGAATATAAATTCACACAGAAATTCATGTGAGTTAGTCACCTTTAGAAATGAAAAGACTAAGGAAGATTAGGGCCATTTGTGGTTCATCTAGTAGCTAAGATTTTTTCCCCCAAATTGGTTGTATTCTCAAAACTACTTTTTTTTAATGTTTATTTAATTTTGAGAGAGAGAGAGAGAGAGAGAGAGAGAGAGAGAGAGAGAGACAGAATAAGAAGGAGGCTCCAGGTTCTGAACTGTCAGCACAGAGCCCAACATGGGGCTTGAACCCACGAACCATGAGATTATGACCTGAGCCGAAGTCGGATGCTCAACCAACTGAGCCACCCAGGTGCCCTGAAAGCTATTCTTTTTTTTATGGGTTTGCCATGTAGTAACATCAGGAATTTTGATAAAGAGTGCCATATTTTAGGTAAAACTCTAGTCCTAAATTTGTCTACTGCAGTTCTGAAAATTATTAGAATACTTTACTATGCTATATATTCTTATGTCCTACCAAACCTCAAGCAGGCAGAACCTCAAATCGGCTTAACAGCAATATCCCCAGGTTTTTTGTTTTTGTTTTTTTAAATCTCACTTATCCTGGTAATCCATTCATCTGCAAGTCGGGGATTTGACTACAGGGAAGGATCAAATCATGTAGGAGTCTTCCAAAACCAGAAACCCAAAGGCAGAAGTGTGGTTATTATTCCCCTAGAGAAGATACTTCCAAAGAGAATCTATATTTCCCAGGAGCCCTTTATTAATATTCTAAGTATAAATCTCTGAGGTTATCCAATAAAGCAATTTGGGATAAAGTCTTCTGCAGAAATGTTTAAAGCTTATGGAACAGTGGTTCCCCAATTTGGGCACATGGGATATACCCTGAGATGATTACAAATACTGACACCTGGCTCCTACCTACAGACATGGTGTTTTAGTTTAGCTGGGCAAAACGTGGGCATCAGGCCTTTCAATCCCTGTCTCCACATTCTAATGTGCAGCAAAATCTGGAAACCACTGTTACAAAAATGGTGTCTTCAAATTTTTCTGCCTTCAGTTCTGGGATTGACAGGAAACACAAATCCTAAGCCCTTATTTCTGGAATCTTTTGGGGCTGAATGAAACAGAGAAAGCACAAGGTAACACCCACCATGTTGGAACCATTTTCACATGACCATAGTATTTTCTCTCCACAGAATTTCAGGCAAAAGTATAATAGAGGGCCAGCTGAAACCACTGTGAAGCAAGTATCAATTTGGGGAGTTGTTAGGTAGATCTGTTATAGCTAGAACTATAAGCAGGCAAAGAACTGGTATAGGGTAGAGACGGAAGACCAAAGTGGGATATCCATCAAATGTAAACCACTCCACCCCCAGACTGTGGGGACGGGGAGGCTGGGGAGGAACAGGAAAGATCAAATACAACTCCTCCTCCCATCTATAAGTTCCCACACCATGGAAACTTTGCATTAGTGCAACAAAGGCCGGTTCACCACACCCTGAAATCTCACACCCCCCTCCCTTTCTTCTTGCTGAGGTAACCACACACTGTACCCACAGCGGGGAGGCAGCTCAGCAGAGGTCATCGTGCCCTCAGTTATCCAGCTTGAGTCCTTGTCTGAAAGCTACTGGGAATAAGAAGGACGGTACCATCTCAGTGGGACAGCTTTGAAGACATACTTGCCTGAGGCTGTGATGGAATCATACCTGTCTACAGTTTCACTGCTTTATGGCCTAGCAGGAAGAACCAGGGTAAGAACATGACTAAGGGCTGGTCTACATGAGGCACTTTTCCTTTCAGCCTTCTTCAGCTAGAGGCTGACAGAAACAGCTAACTGCTGAAGCCTCTTTTTCTTTCTGGTAATCTCCACTTGGTATTTTCAGGGTTTGTTAACAGAGCAGAACCAAACCACATTGTAGGTCTCAGTGCCAAAAAGAGGGGAAATAGTAACACAGAGAGGAACGGCTGAGATCAGAGGGTGGATGTTCTTCTGCCCAGAGTAGCTCTGGGAAGCAGAGCCTCCTATAATTATAAACAGTTCTGGTTTCCTCCCTCTCTCTAATCTGTGACAATAATTATTTTCAAGTTTTGGGTGACTTCTGTTATGGGCTGAGTTGTGTCCCCCCAAAACAGATATATTAAAGTCCTAACCCCCGATACCTCAGAATGTGATCTTATGGGGAAACAGGTTCTTTACAGAGGCAATCAAGTTAAAATGAGGTCATTTAAGTGGGCTCTAATCCAGTATGACTGGTGTCCTAATACAAAGGGGGAAGTTTGGACATACTGACAGATGCGCAAAGAGGGAAGAAGATGTGAAAGCACACAGGGAGAAGACAGTCATGTGACTGCAGTGATGACATTTAGAAACCAATGGATGCCAAGGATTGCTGGCAAACACCAGAAGCTAGAAGAGGCAAGGAAACATTCTCCCCTCGAAACATCCGAGAAAACACAGCCTTGCTAATAACCCCTTGATCTAGGACTTCTGGCCTCCAGAACCATGTGACAATAAATTTGTTTAAAAATTTTTGTTTATGTTTATTCATTTTTGAAAGACAGAGAGAGACAGAGCACAAGCAAGGGTGGGATGGAGAAAGAGGGGTACAAAGATTCTGAAACAGGCTCCAGGCTCTGAGCTGTCAGCACAGAGCCCGACGCGGGGCTCGAGCTCACAAACTGCGAGATCATGACCTGAGCCGAAGTCGGACGCTCAACCAACTGAGCCACCCAGGTGCCCCGACAATAAATTTGTTTTAAACCATCCAGGTTTTGGCACTTTGTTATAGTAGCCTTACGAGATACGGCCCCAAAGTAGACCTGGTGTTGATGAAATCAGTCAGATTCTACTTCAATTAGCCTCAGTGAATTACTGCTGCTAGCCAAGATGACAGTCTAGGTCAGTGGCTCTCAAATAGGGCTGGTGGAGAACAGTGGTGATGGCAGCAAATCATAATTTCTTGGGAAGCTATTTCATAATAAATGCCTAAGTTCTTTACTGAGCCCACTGATTCAGAATATGAGGAGTAAGGAATAGTTAACCTATCTTTTAAACAAGCTCCCCAAGTGATATCATTGACTTGCTCTGATCTCATGTACCACTACACCACCCCCAACTGAGTAACACTAGCTTAAATGAAAGGATAAAACTCTGGGTCTTCCCCAAATTGACCTGTAGATTCACTGTAATCCCAATCAAATTCTCAGCAGGTTTTTTTTTTTTTTTCCATAAAAATTCACAGACTGATCCTAATATTTATATGAAAATGCAAGGCCAAGAATAGCCAAGGTAATCTTGAAGAAGCACAATAAAATTGAAGATACCAAGACTCATAAAGCCACAGTTAAGACAGCATACTACTGACACAAGACTAGACAAATGGATGAGTGGAAAGAAAGAGTCCAGAAATAAACCCACACATATGTCATTTGATTTATGACAAATGAGACACTGCAGTGCAGTGGTGGGGAAAGGATGGCCTTTTCAATAACGTGCTAGGTAAATGAGGTATCCATATGGAAAAAGTAGAATCTTGACTCAACTCATACCCTAAACAAAAATCAATTTCATATAGACTGTAGATCCATATATGAAAATAAAAACAATATAGTTCTCAGAAAAATACATAGGAGAATATCTTTATTACCGTGGGAAAGGCAAAATTTTCTTAAACAGGACACAAAACACTAACTATATAAAAAAAAAATAAACTAGACTTTATAAAAATGAAGAAACTTCCCATTCATGAAAAGGTACCATTAAGAGAAACAACAAGAAATAGAAGATATTTATAATACATATATCTGATAAAGGACTCATAATCAGAATATACAAAAAATTCCCACAAATTCATAATAAAAAAGATACAACCCAATCCTAAAACGTAAAAGGTTTGAACATGTATTCTGTAAGATTTCCAAAGGCCAACAAGCACATAAAAAGATGCTCAATTTCATGATTTTCATGGCAATGCAAATTAATATCACAAAGAGATACCATGCTATACAGCAAACAGGATGGCTAAAATAAGAAAGAAAAATAAGTTCAAGAGTTGGTAAGGATGCAGAGCAACCAGGATTATTTGGAAGTAGGAGTATAAACTGGTTCAGACACTCTGGGAAACTGGCAATATCTACTGGCACTGACGGTGTCCCCTAATGACTCAGGAATTCCATTCCTAAGTATGTACAGAATAGGAATGGGTACATGTATTCCTCAAAAGACACATACAACAATTTCTGCAGCAGCATTTTACACAAAAACCCCAAACTGCAAACAATCCAAATGCTCATCTGCAACTGAATAGTGTTGAATTCACATAGTAAGTATTATAAAATAATGAGAATCAACAAAGTATAACTACATGCAACAACATGGATAAATTTCACTGGCATAATGTAGAACAGCTAGACATAAAAAAGGTCATACTGTAATGATTTTATTTATATAATGTTCAAAATGGAGAACACTAATCTCTGATGCTGGCAGTCAGAAGTGATCTTTTTTTAAAGGGGTTAGCTATTGGAAGGGAAGTATGAAGGGGTTTCTGGGGTGGGGGTAATAATGCATTTCTTCATGCAGGTACTAATAACCAGAAAGTGGGTTCACTTGGAAAATTCAATGACCTGCATGCTTATAATTTGGGCACATATTTTTATTTCTATTATTGTTCAATAAGACATATTAACGTAAAAACAAATACACTTGGGTTTGTGACTCCTCCAGGATCAGCTGAGGTGCAAGCTAGTTCTGTACTTGGGGCAGTCTGCCCCAACTCCAGGGTAGCAAATCAGTCTAGTATCTAATGCAACAGCACTTGGGGGGATGGTAGGGGAGGGTTTCTACTTTCCTCATCCATTCTTCCTCCATACTGATACTTGATTCTGTTAGATTTTTAAATAGAATAATTCTAAGAAGCAGGCTAAAAGCTGAAAAGCAGAGAGAGCTTGGTAAATGGGAATATGCACAGTATTTCAAGTGTACTGAATGATACAAGAAAATTTTCAAAAGATGGGGATAATCAGAGTCAAATAAGGAGAAGGCAGGTTGTTCACTGAATTAGTTCAGGGTTAAAAAGTTTCATTTGACTGTGAGTTCAATGGGGGTAGAAAAGTATTCGATAGCAGTCTTTTAGGCTTTTTAAAGACATACTAAACAGAAAATAGAGTACAGCTTGTGGGAGGGGGAACTACTCAATTTCTCACCATAGCCTTTTTGTCACAGAGCTTGTTGCTATGGAGAAGGCCATGAAGGCAGCAACTAGGGGAAATAAAGGATCTGGCAGGAGTAAGCACAGTGACAGTGGATTAAACAAAAATTCCTTGAGCAATTAGCAAGTAGCAAGGCCTATAAATGACACACTTTCCATTTTTTCCTAACCCCTACCCTTCTAAAAGTACATGGGCTTGGTTTGCCACTATAATTTAACTCAAATACAGAGAAGCCTGAATGGGCCTAACAAAGCCTAAGCCTGGCAGACAAAACACAGGCCATTTAGCAATGCTGCTTCATGCCAGGGGGAATCGGCTACCTACCCACCCCTATCCTGGGGAAATGATCTCCAGCTGCCTAAATTATAAAGTTGATGCCCTATGATTTCTTTGTTCTGTAAAGCCTGAGGGAGATAGGATAATGAAGTATCAGAAGAGGTATAGAACAGCCCCTTGTTTCATAAAGCAGTCAGAGGCAGAGAGAGAGAGAAGAGAGAGAAAGAGGGAGTTCTTACTGGTATCATTAAGAGGCAGCAGCAGCGACCTGGGAGCAAAGCTCTGCCTGAACTGGTCTGAAACTACTGCTGTGGGAGAAAAGGCTGGTTGCCAAGTTTGTTAATAGCTTCTGCCCATCATTGTTATAGCAGCTTTATCAACCAGGGCAGGGCCAGGACCTGTTTTTAGCAGTGTAAGCACTGAGACTGGAGGGTTCAACAACATCTTCCAGCAGATCTCACTACAACCAATGATTAACAAAGACAGTTCTCTCTTCTGTCCCACATAAATGATCACAGAATTGTAAATATCACAGCTGGAAGGACCACAGAGATATGCAGACCAACTCTCTCGTTTTATAAATGAGGACACTAAGGCCCGGACCAGTTAAATGGCCTTATACCTCTTGGAATCAAGAGCCAAAGCTAAATTAACTGGGGCTAGTGATCAGCCCCAGTTTATACTAGACTGTATTTATTTCCTAGGTATCACTTACTGGGTTTCATACATAAGTATCAGGAACTAAATTATTTGTTAAAGGATGGCATTAATAACAAAGTAGGTCTGTCTCTGAGCCCATCTTAGAGAGTTCTTTTCCTGAAATATCAAAGAATTTCATTTGAAGCAACCTTGCCTATCTGCCAAGCCTGCAGTCTGGCCAACTGTACCACCCCCCTCTGTGCTTTGCTGGGCTGAGGGAGGTGGTAGGTGACAGTGCACAAAAGGACATCTCTCTCCCTTGGAGATTTAGTTTATTTTGCAATTTGCAAAATGAAACTCAAAAAAAAGTCTGTAAGTGAAAATTTTTCTTAGGGCTTCAGGATTTAAATATGTGACAGTGGGCAGATAACATAATCCAGAAAGGTATATAGACACATAACTGCCCCAAAGCATCTCCTGGTTGTAAGCTGCTAGGTGGGAAAAATGTGTTGGCTGTTGTTTTGGGTGGGGGAGGGGTGAGAGAAAGTAAGTATTGATTTCCCTAATGTTTCCTTTGTGTGGCTGCTGTTGCCATGTGGTGGTCTGTTGCTATGAAGATTTGTGGTGCCAGACAATGGCTGCTAGGCTCCTCATGACTGTGCTATTGGTGGAGCTGTTTCTGCAGGAGTCAGGCTAGTAAGCAACTGGCTAAGCAGTGGAGAAAGCTTGGTCACTGTGCACCATGTCTTCCTCCAGGTAAGTGCTGCTTGAGGCAAGACTGAAGGTGAAGGAGCGTTAATTATAGCCAAGGAAAAAGAAAAAAAGCCGAGAACCAGTGTAACTTTCCAGTATAAATCTCTAAAATTAGATACTTCACAGTTCACACACATACTTTCCTACATCAGAATCACACAGAATAAAGCAAGGGTAACTACCAAGGTTACCATTTCCATGAAAGAAGATTAATAGACAGACCCTTCTTTTTAGTAAGAAGGATAAAGACCCGCAGCCAGGATCTGCAATCAGATGAGGATGAAGAACTGCTGAGGCAGGTTCTCAGCGGAGCTACCACAGGCAAACTTACTTCCTGCTAAGCAAAACCACTGGCTATTACTCTGATAATGAGAAAACTGCAACCCATAGACCAAAGCACAAGGCAGAGTTTGAAGCAGGGCCAAATGTTCTCCCAGGTAATAAGGGCCAGAATCATAGAAGTCACCCTGGGTCTGTGCAGATGTTGGCTATTTACCCAACCTCTTTATCCTCCCACATATTTACCCTTCTTTCTATCTCAGAGTCTATTTACACTTTTAGAGTACATATAATGTAAAGATCATCTAGCCTCTATTGCAGTCCAATACAGTAAACCACTAGATACATGTGACTATTTAAATTTAATAATCCTCA